CCCTAATCCCTAAACCCTAAGCCCGAAACCGTAAGGGACACCCTAAACCTGAATCCGGAAAGGAAACCCCAAGCCAAAACATCGAGAGTTGGCTAAGTGACCGCTCGGGGTTTGCTAAGTGACCTGACAAACAATGCGCTCTCCGATTGGCCAAGTGACCGTGTTCGGGGTTGGCTAAGTGACCCGGGCTCCCTTCGCCCGGGTACCTGGAGAGCCTGATCCCATATGCGTTTTGTGAGGCAGGCCATTCATGCTGACAACTCCAAGCTTCTTCGGCGAGCGCTCCGGGATGCCCCTCGCGTGACGTGGCACAAAAAACCGGGGGTGGAAAAAGCCTCGCTTTGTGTCTTCTGTGCCCGTGGCAGCCCGTGGCAGCTCAGCTCCGGGAGGCGCAGCGCGTGAACTGGCAGCTGCGGGTCCGCGTGGGCAGCCAGTCCATCAGCCCGCTCTACTGGGCGCTGAGGCTGGGCTTTGATGGGCACTTTGGGTCCCTGGTTAGAGGCTTTGGGCCTAAGGGGTCCAGGGTGAGACTTGTGAGTGTGGGGGGATTCGCCGTGCAGAAGGGTTTGGGAGCCAGACCTCGAAGCTCCAAGCAGGAGTGGTTGCCACGGTGCAGCGAAGACCATCGTGCAAGACATCCTGACTATCCGCGCAGACTCCCGCTCAGCTCAAGCTTCGCTTCAGGCAGCGATCAGAGAGCTTCTTCGATTTCACGGTTTCAGGTGTCCATGGTCGTACTTAGACTTGCCGAACGAAAGCTACTTCGGGGCAAGGGCAGTTGTGGATGCTAGGAGATGATGCAAGCACGGAATTCGGCTAGGATCGTTTGTGTTTGGTGGGCAGAAGCCTCGATTTACTGCTGGCGAGACTTTCCAAGGACAGGGACCGATACTACTACGGTGCGGACGAGCTTTTCAGGCTCGGAAGCTGAGTTCTCTGCAATTTTCTCCATCATTTTGCTTGTGATCCTCGGGCGGTTTCTTCAGACTCCTCAAGCATAGACTACCAACTCGAGCAGCAGTGCAAAGCCTCCTTGGAAGCCAGGCTTCAGCCCGACATCGTCGACAACCTGCTTCGTGAAGCGCCGGTCCTCGCGCACGACCGGCCAGGGCGGCCAGGGCCAGTAAGACGGTCCTGGGGGTTCCGGGGCCGCCAAGCTGTCAGCGGGGCCTCACGGCTCGAAAGGAGGGAAGGCTAAGCTTCGACTTGTTTCAGCTCTTGGTTTATGTTTCAACCCCCCCTCGCCTGGCTTGACCAGGACTTTCTAGACGGCCTCATTTGGCGATCTCACAAGACCCAGGACCTTCCGAGAGGGCCTTGGTTCAGGGCGCTGACTTCTACACAGTGAGTCGTTTCGGATGCAGGAGCTTGGAGTGGTCTCAAGCGGTCCCGGACACCCGCAAGTCAAGACTAGCTGATATGTTTCGGGATCGTGGCTGCGGGTTCCACCGCATCAGAATCAGGGTGCTCAGAGCTTCGGCTTCTCCAAAGATGGGTGCAAGGTTGTCGAGGGTCAACCTCAGGTCGTACATCTCAAGCCTTGAATGCGGAGGATGGGCTTCGACCGGTTATCTACTATTTGGAGCACCTCTTGCAGGATCAGGACGAGTCTCAGATGCCTGGCTCTGTCTTTAGCTCGGTGAAAATGCAGCATTCAGACGAGGCCGACAACAGTCTGAAGACGGAGCTGTTCAGGGTGCTATGGAAGTGAACCGGAGGTAGCGAGCCTGTCCCGGAACTGAAGTCAGCTCTGGATGACAAGGGTCTACATGTTGCACAGCCCGGAGGGTCAGGACAAACACCGGCCTCAAGCCGCTTGACTCAAGCCGGTCTTCTGAGGATGCTCTCTCGGTCGCTGAAGTCCTTCGTCGTGTTTCGGGATCCCCGGACAATCACACACCCCATCCTGGTTTTCACGCTGGACCTCATTTGGGAAAAGCTGGTCGCCGGGCTGCAAGATGCGAGGGTTCTCATCAGAGTCCCTGCTCACGGGGCGGTCCTTGGGAAATGCATGGCAGCAACGAAGGGTTTTGTGGTCATGGCAAGGCCTTACAAGGAAGTCGCTCAGATATGAACATCAGAATGTCCGCTTCAGTCCTCAAGGTGATGAGGTATTTCCTACTGGACCGTCTCTGGACACTGGTAACCTTCGTCATCTACATCGCTGCACAGAGCCGCTGGCCAGCAGTGAGTGTGAAGGCACGACGACGACGACGACGATGACGATGATGAGTGTGGATGAACATGAGGAGGGAGAGAAGTGTGATGGAGATGATGATGATGGTGACGATACTGATAGTTGATAATGATGATGATGCTGTTGTTGTTGTTGTTGATGATGATGATGATGATGACGACGGGTTCCGGGGTGGTCGTTGTGCATGGTGGCACCGACGGCCGCGGTGGCGGCGGTGATGTCTAGGAAGGATTGAGCGAGTGGGTGACTGAGGAAAGGTTCGTGAGCGATGAAATCCGAAGCTTCCTCCGGAAGAGCAGCAGCGGCAATCTTCTTCACAAGCAGCTGTAGAAGTTGACCTGTAAGGCTTCTGAGGCTTCAATGCGCAGTTTCTCACTGCCGAGGCGTTCTGAACCAGAAGGTCTACTTGGAGAACCATGCGCCCGAAGCTGAGAGCCTTCGCAAGCCCAGGGCATCCGTAGCGTAGGCCAAAGCAAAAAGCTCCTCTCAAGTCTAAAGTTTCGGCGCGCGCGCTGTTGCCCCAAGGCTCCACTTGTGGGTAGGGATCGCCCGGCTGATGGTCTACTTGATCGGCTTAGGCCGACTCCTCTTCTGGCGGCTCGGCGAAGCCAAACCTCCTGTCACTCCCAAGTCCTGCAAACATCTTTTGGCAGCTTCCCTCCGCGGGGGTGGTTTGAGGCTTTGGTGATCTTTGGCGGATGCTTTTTTGCTTTCGGAGCAGGGACGGAGTTTGAAGCCGCATGGGGGCATGTAGTGGCGTTGTCGGTTGCTGTTCCTTGGTGGTCCAACTGTTGTTCCTTGTGCTGTCTTTGTTGGCTGGTGCCTGCCGTGGCTTTGATTGCCCTTTGCAAATCCGTGTTGTTGCTGCACGGTGGTTGGAGTGGAGGTCTTTCTGGCTTGGGGGTGTCGGAGGCCGTTGCAATGCGGCCATGCCGCCTTTTGGATTTGGGAAGTTCCAGGCTCTGATTGGGCTCTGTGCAGAGCGTTCCAATGTGCACTCTCGTGCCTCGATGCGACAAAACATGAGGCATGGGACCCAAATCTACCGCGCCTTCGTGCACAAGGCCTTCACAGGGTCCATCGGGCTCGTCCCATCCTGAAGCGGTTGTGTTTCAGGTTCATGTGAGGGTCTCGATTCATGGCAGTGCACCAAACTAAAGAGCGAAGAGTATAGAAACCCGTCTCATGAAGTTGAAGAACTTGCATGGATCCAGCTCAGTCTGCAGGGCTAAGGGCACTCTACAGCTGGCCAGAGCGCTTTGGGGCGGTTTAGATCGCAAGGCTATTGGTCCTTGTTGAAAGTGCTTGGTGGAACTGTCAACAGGATTACATGGTGATGCGGTGGCTGCGTATTCCCAGTTTCTCGGCACATAGTTATTGAAGTTAATGCTCTTTCGGCTACTGCCTGCACACTGCAGACATGTATGCCAAGGCTATCTCGCCCAGTGGGATCAACAGCTCTCGCTGCTCCTCACGGCCAACCTCTTCATGATGTTGGCAGCCTCTAGACTTTCGACACATTCGATACATGTGCGCGAGCATGGTGACAGTTCCGTTGCATCGTGTTCTCTTCAGTCCCGCTGGCTTGGCAGTGCATTGAGCCACTGAGCCTTGAGCGGAAAACGCGCTCACGGCGGGAGCGACAGAGACTGAACAGCACGCGTGCAATCACAGACTCCCGGGCCGGCGTGTGCTGTGGTGATGATCCTGTCTCTAAGGTGGAGCCTGTGTGCCATTGCTTTGGAATCGAGGAGGTGCCATGCTTCTGTATGCTTCGGCTCGGAGTTGCTGGGTTTTGGGCTTTGGCAGCCTTCCAAAGAGACAAAGTGGTCCTAGGGTCCTAGACAATCGCCGCCTCCGAAGCTCCGAACGCAGTCTTTGAGCCTTGAAGTCGACCCTTCGCCATCGGTTGTCACGGAACAGGACATGATCGGGCTGCACTGTGTGGCCGTTACGCCAGCCATGGAGCAACCAGACTTGGAACAAGCAGAATTGAATGTTGAATAACTCGGTCGTTGTTTCAGCGAAGTGCGTTCAGCAGGGAATTCAAGCCTAGCGCTGAGACAAGCGTTTCCTACACTTCACCCTGACAGAGTCATCCGCATCCAGCTCTTCCAGAACCAATGAACAACGCTCAGGATTGCCTACGAGGTCCTTTCCAGCTTCGGGGTCTTCTTGCGGCTCGGACGGACTTTAGGAGCCTCGAAACTGGTGCTTTTTTGTGGCATCTCGCGCTTCCCATGCTGCCCCCAGATCCGAAGAGCAGGTTTTCCTTGCTGGTCCTGGATCTGGCAACCGTCTCTATCAAGATGTCCGAGTATAAGGTGCTGTGTGCACGCGCGGTGGGGCAGGCGCTCGGGGCTGACGGATGTTTGTGAGATAGGAGGAGCCCCAAGTGCAGGGTGCACGGTTGACCATATCGTGTGGAGACTCTTCTTCCTTCCTTACACCTTTGTTTCTTATTTTCTTGCTCTTGCTTTGCCCTTGCTTTTGTTTTTGTTGTTGCGGAAACGGACCAGACTCGCTTCGCCTCGCTTGATTATTAACGGAATATTCACGCTATATCATGTAGTTGCTGGTAGGAGTTTCCCCTTTGCTTGACCCGAACTTGCCCTTCTATGACAGGTTTACCTTTGCCTTGGTGCTGTGATCGCCTGCATCTTCATCTTCACCTTCGCCATCGCGGCGATGTCCAGAGAGGCAGCGGGTACACCAGTACTGCACATGTCAATCTCGAGTTAGTTTTGACCCCCCCCGAGCCTTGTTTCAGGTAGACCTTGTCGGCTTGGAGGACCGCCCGACCTTTCAGTGTTGCCCTTCGAATTCTGCCAAGCACGGCGCGAACAGCCTCACAGCATTACGCATCTCAAGATGCAACCGGCTGAAGCGGAACTGTTGTAGTGCACTACACAACTGTGGTATCCGTGTGCATTCAAGCTGTCTTCCAGTGTAGATTTGCCGACTTGATGGGTTGCCCTCAGCTTGTTTTCTCGCCAAGAGACCAAGCTGCAGATGCTAGAAGTACGGCATTCTCTAGCCATGAGCTCGGAGAATTCGCACTTCGAAAGTGTTGCAGATGTGTCTCCCTGAGACTCGATACTGCAAATCAACGTATGTAGTGTGTAGAAAAAATATCCCTAAAGTCCTAGGCATTTCAAAAACATATGCAGATCCCATGTCAAGATGCAACAGGCGACAGCTAGCGTTTCGCCGATTTTTTTGTCTTTTCTCAGGAGTTCTCTACCATAGGCAACATCGCGCAACTGCTGATTCAGATTGCCTGGGGATTGACGAGCATGGCCGCTTGAAGCAAATCCGTAAGGGCATGGCCAAGGTGTACCCATCCCTTTGGTTCGTCTCTGGGGTATGTCGAAAGACCAGATGATGACGCCGCAAAATGGTAGACGAACTAACCTCGTTAGTTTGTTTTGGTAGTTTGCTGGAGATGGAGGGCGGGGCGGTGGGCACATCTAAGTTGCTGCAAGAGACCCGTCTTCAACAGCAGCTGGTAATTCAAGTTCCAGACACAGCCGCAAAAAGACGTTCTGGCTTTGACAGCTCGCTGCTTCAAACATGTTGCATGCTAACTAGCCTGGAAAGCTACGAACGAAGAATTCACTGCCAACTGAGGAGCAGATGAAGACGATTGCGCACCAAAGCAGTTTACTCTTCACGGCCGCTGGAATGCAGTTGCAGGGGGAAGGCATGCGTATGGTACTTCGGATTTCGAGGAGAATGTGGAGGCTTCTGGTGTAAAGGATCTGCAAGACTCCGTGTCCTGCAATCCCTGTCCTGCAAGAAGTCTTTTACCACTACGACGACGACGACAACGACTACTACTAGTACCGCCATACCGCCACCGCCACCGCCACCGCCACCGCCACCGCCACCGCCACCGCCACCGCCACCGCCACCGCTACCGCTACCGCTACCGCTACCGCTACCGCTACCGCTACAGCTACCGCT